GCAAATTATTGGGGGGCTGCATCCCCCGGACCCTCCCCCCCCCCCGGCGTTTGCTACGGCCCTGGAGAGGGTCTGCGGTTTTCTCCCCCAGAAAATTTTTGTATTTTTCTACCCCTATGACTGCAATTCCCTGCATTTTCTGAAACAGATTTTTGGATATACAGCATTACATTATGCTGTAGATAGACTGAACCTTCAGTTAAGTACAGTACTTGGCTACTTGCATAGTATGTTTATGTAGATACCACAACTTGGCCGTCACTTAGGGAGCCAGCCTGATAAACTTAGAGTTCCCGACTCCCACGAAGCGCCACCATGGTTGGCACAGAGCGGAAAAATTTTGAAAATTTTGCGTCTCTAAATCATCGGAAACGGCATTTTCAAAGTCTTCTATACGTCTTTTGTTTGGCCCTTTCATTGATTCGTTCATTATGATTTGTGAGTCTATGATATCCGCGAGTCAGGATGGATTATTACGAGAAATGTTATCAAAATATCGATTACAGATATTTGATTATATGTATATATGATTTCAAATACTTCTAGTTTCGAAATCAAATTGGTTTTTTTTGGTGGGGGCCAAAATTATCCCCCCCCCCCTTATAAAACACTTGGTTGAGGGCCTGTTGCCCCCTGCGGTCACTAACTTGTCCAACAACTCAAACTCTATAGGGTCTGGGAAATGCAATCCACTGCCTGGGAAATGTTTAAAATCTAATAAGGTATTTATTAAACATAAAAGACAGGACACAAGATTCACAAAGCAAATTTCAGTTACTAGAATATCAAACCTCTCTTCTAAATTCCATGTTTTGCTTATATTTTAGAGAAAAGTGACTTTGACTGGGGGGGCCAAAATGGTTGAGTGGGGGGCCACCATGGGGGCTGGGGGGGGGGGCTTTGGCCCCCCCAGTTATATAGTTAAAAAATGCCCTGATGCGCGTGATGCATGCTGGTATTGCCGAGACTTCGTGAGGCATTCCATTGCATTGGCAGACCGCCGAAGTAAATATGAATATCATTATTCACGGATGACAAATTTCTAAAGAACAAGATTAACATAAGGTGAAGTAGTTATATTGATCTATTCTTGGCACATATAACAAATGTCGTTGTTCTCAAGCAATTGTGTCGGATGTATATTTGGCGTTTGAATTGCCGACTCGTGACTAAGTCTTAGCTGTGTATTTGAAATCGTCGCAGACAAAATATATTTTCAATCGAGACTCGTGTTGTCGTTTATTAAACCTATTATGAAAATTAACATCACCATATTTCTCCCTAGTTAGTTAAGAATGTAGGCGTTTATAGTCCTGTATTTGAATATAGGCCGCTTGGAATTTAACTCATTTGCAAGTTTTTAAATAGAAAGTTTACAAGCTTTGTTGTTAATAAAATGGATTTGTCCCACTACTGCGCTTGTTTACCACACACAATAATATGTGTTTCGCAGTTGTGGTTGCGTGATAATAGCATTATTTCATGCTCTAATCAACAGGAATTTCGATATACAATTGATCGTTTCTGATAATGGACAGTTGTCATGAAGCTGAAACAGACGAGGATAGTACGCCACTGATGTCGACAAGTGATGATGATTATTCTTTTGAAGTACAGCAGGTTAGACACGGTGTTAGCTACATGTAAATATTGACCGATTTACTAGACAACTCACAATTTAATTTTCTTAATCTGCGAAAACAGTACTAAGCGCAACTTTATATATTCTGATATTGGCTTTATTATGCCAATACAGTTTGGTAATTTTTTATGATAGTTCCCAATTTAAAAAAGCCAAGAATGGGTTGGAATGCTATAATGTTTACATTTGTCTAAAATGTTCGACCTTGCCAAATATTTTATGCGAGAATAATATTATGTTCTCTTAATTTTTAATATCGAGTACATACACTAATAAATTTGCTACTTTTTTCTGAGAAAGGAGCTACTTTTTGAAAGGAATTAGAACGTTCTAAAGAAATTCTAATTACAGTAATATTGAATATAACACAAGGATGGAATTTTCGGGGAAGGCAGGAAGTTAAAACAAACAATTAAACTTGCACATCTTTGTCAATTGTTTAATTATCCTGTTGATATTGAATGAATTTTGTGCAACTTACCTGGTCATTATTTTAGCAAAGGGATTTATAATGCGCAATTTTTCATTCCAATTTTTCAATACATTTTGACATTGTATTGCATGAATTGTTTCAACTGTTTCAACCTCAGTATTCTGTAGTGAAGTTATCCCTCTGAACAACCTTGGGTGGGCAAAGTAAAGATAGTTTGTCTGATAATATAAATTGTGACTAGACAGCCAGCTGTTTAGTAAACTGCCGGTCATTTAACAGCTGACATTTCTTATTTAGTGATATAAAACCCTTTTTCTTAAAGTTTTGTAAAACATTGTTTTGAACTCTCAAATTGTTTATTAGACATTTAGTGGTTAGGGTTAGAGAAGGGTTTGGGGTTGGGATCAGTTTATTTTATAACTATTCGACTGTAACCACAGTATAGTCGAGAATGAGCTTTGTTTTATTTTCCTTGGAAAATGAGAAATAAATGGTTTGGGTGGACAATCATTGGTATTACAAAGAACAGGGCACCCAAACCATTTATATATTTCTTATTTTCCAAGGAAAATCAAACAAAGCTTGTTCTAACATGTTCCCTTGGATGAACTATCTCTGTATTCTGTAATCTGTCTACTTGGTTGAACTTGTGTGCATTGTATGTGTATGTAAGTACGGCATTAGCAAACTGTCAGAAAAACAGCATTGCCAGTAAAAACTATTGCCAGTACAGGGCACTATTGCAACAAGTCTGAATAGTTCATCTGGATGGTTCATATCTCAATAGTTTGTTCTAGAACTGTTTACATTCACCTCAGCACCTGTCCCATCAGACGAAAGTACCAGTATGCATTTTGCAGTATAAATCAGACCATTCCAGTTTACATTCCTACTGTATAATTTTTATATTGCTTAAAATATTTTCCTTGTTTAAAGTCATCCATTCTTGTGTGGGATGCAGTTAAAGGTTGAGAGCCAATGAAACACAATCTGTTTGCTAGAGTATTTCTATGTTAAAACAAGCTTTTGTTGGCAGAATGCAATTACTTGAAAAATTTAAGTAGAATTTCTAACTAGGCCTAAAAAAAATACCTGTGGTTCCGGTTGCTGACCGACCCTATTTTTTTCTGCCGACCCTATTATTTTTCAACGCAATTGACCATGCGACCCTATTTTCTCCAGGTGGTTGCGGGCTGCTGCCAAAATGGCGTCTGTTGTCACACTAATTATTGAAAAAACCATGAAAAAAATATTCAAAAAAAATATATTTCCGACCAACCCAGCCTAATTTTTTCATGATATGAAACCGTAACCACAGTTGTTTTTTTTACGCCCTAGGAGTTACCCCTTCAAGACGAAAGCTTGTTTATAGTATTGGTACTACCTATACTGGCACAGACAGATCAAAATCACATTCCTACCTTATGACTTCAAACACTCTACCATTCTAGATCAATGCTTTAATCGGACTTCTAACTTTCAATTAATCTAACTAATTAACTTTAATTATTTTTTTTAGTTAATTTCTTTTAATCAGACTTCGACTTCGTGGTAGATTAGTCTGCATAACCAGAAAAGAGTAAAGGGGAAAGAGGGCTTGCCGTAAAACCCAGCTTCCATAACTAAGCACCTTAATCAAGGTTTGATAGAATTTAAACTCAGCTAAAATGTGGGGAAAATCCCAGGCCAAATGAAATGTATTTACTTGTCAATAAATATGTCAATCAAGATGAAATGTAATAATGTATACGCTTGTACCAATCAAATTCTATGTTGAAGAATTAATGGTGTTTAGTAAAGAAAAAGGGGGGTTTTATGGTAGTCCTTCTTTCCTATGCAGGGTATAGGTAGTTTTAGTTACCAAATGTAATGTAAACACTAAACAGGTCTTGATAGATTATTTTTGGTTTGCTATGAGAACATCCCTTTGCTCTGCTTACTTAGTTCTTTTGGCCTGGCAAAACACACCCAAGAACTCTTCTACCAAATTCAAACAACCTCTAGGCATTAGCCTCCACACACTTACATGGACTGTATAAATTATGCCTGTTAAATGCAGTGGTTGCGGTCGAAGAATCTTTGTATGAACTATGAAACCCACTCTAACCTATCCTCCTAGCATGATCCCCATGGTTGGGCCACCCTGATAGCAATTTGCTTCCGACGGCTTGTGGTGGGAAGTCGAGAAAGAAGATACTAAATATTTGAACTTATGAATAATTTGCGTAATGTAGGCGTATATTTTGTTTGGCAGTCCTAAAGTGCCTTACATGGATTCGATGTTTAACCATTGGATACAACCCCACATCAAATTCATTTCGTACCAGTTTTCTTAACGGGGGTTTGTTGTCACACCATCGCAATAGACCTTTCCCCTTTAAGTGAAATTTTGATCTAGACAAGTCTGGACAAAATTTCATCACTGCTTGAAAGAGCATCACAAAATTAGTAATATTCCGAAGTTTCGTTGCGAAATGTTGTAAAATGCGGATAATATAGCCTTGCGAAGTTTGCCGTTTTTCAGTCATTTTGCATTACAAACGGGAAATTGATAA